GTGGACGCGTCCGTTAGCATTCAGCTCAGCTTCCCGTAGGCGAACCCTACGTACCTACTACCTTAATACACACCAATTCTGACCGCAACAGAAATCTACCTATATACTAAATTTGGCACCATTTATTACCGTTTGTGCTCTTGTAGTACTTATTTCCAAAAATTACCAAGATTAGTGTCATTTAGTATGTACTAATATAAATTTATACAGCAACCTACATCAACAATCCGATATAAATCATATATTCCAATTTCAGATTTCCAGCCCGATTTGGGTGAACCAAATCCAAATTGTAAAAAAATTAATACCCTTCGGACAACTTATGTACGAATTTCCAAAACTTCCTGCATATTTTAATCCAAATTTCAGGATTCTAGCTTATTGGTTAACCTAAATCCAAATTGTATCAAATTTACTACCAATTAATACCCATAAGTACAAATTTCCAAAATTACATCCAAATCCAATCCTATACTCCAGCAGTAATCCTTATTCCAAATTTCTTTAAGATTTCAACTCTATTGGATCCGCTAAATCCAAATTGTATCAAATTTAGTACACATAAGTACAAAGTACTACCTACATCACACAATCGAATATAAATCTTATATTCCAATTTCAGGTTCACCCAAATCCAAATTTTGTACACATTAGTAAACATTTTTAGAACTTCCTATAGACCCCAGTACTACACCCCAACAAATTTTTAGTATTCTAACTCTTTTGGTAAATCTAAATTGTATCAAATTTAGTACCACTTAGTACCCAAAAGCACAAATTTCCAAAACTACATCCATACCCCAATCCTACACTCCCACAGTAATCGTATTTCCAAATTTCAGTATTCCAGCTCTATCGGTTAATCCAAATTGTACCAAATATAGTACTATTTAGTACTTTTTGTACACATAATTAAACATTTCCAAAACTAACTACATATTGCAATCCTACTCTCCGGCGGTAATGTTAATTTCAAATTTTAGGATTTCAGCTCAATTCTTTCCTCTAAATTGTACAAAATTTAGTACTGTTTAGTACATTTCGTATACATGAGTACACACTTCTAGACTGTTTTCGGAAACTCATAAGGCTCATAAACCTCTCAATATATAATTATACCCTCAGCCTTATGGCTAATGAAGGTATATATACTTTGATACGGTGAAATTGTGCCTCATCGAAATATTGTTTTTAGACCCCATGTTTCTTTGGACCAAAAATTTGGAGTTGATTTACAAATATCCGTCTGTCAACTCCTGGCTGGCTGGTGCGCACGATAACACTCGAAGGGAATAATCGATTTCATCCAAACTTTGGACGTTGCAATATTTATTCAAGACATAGCTTAAAATGGTCCAAATTGTGCTAAACATTTATTTTATAGTAACATCCAAACAGACTATCCGATTTTAACGAAACTTTGTTAAACCTATTATCTTTACCAACCTAGATTAAGAAGGAAGAGTGGACCCAATGGTCCACTCCTTCTGGTACCTCCCCCACATAGGGCCAATATTTTCAATATTTTTTAATCCAATATCAGGCTAATGGAATGTGCGATTTAAACCAAACTTTGCAAAACCTATTACCTTTACCAAGCATAGATCAAGATTGAAGATGGGACTCATTGGTCCACTCCTTCTGGTACCTCCCCCACAAATGATCGAAATTTTCAATATTTATAAATCCAATATCAGGCGATGGGATTGTCCGCTTTGAACCCAATTTTGCACAAACTATTAACTTTACCAAGCCTAGATCAAGTTTGTAGATAGGACTCCTCGGTCCACTCCTTCTGGTACCTCCCTCACAAAGGGTCAACATTTTTAATATTTATGAATGGAATGTCCGATTTGAACTAAACTTTGCACAACCTATTATCTTTACCAAGCCCAGATTAAGTTTGAATATGGGACTCATTGGTCCACTCCTTCTGGTACCTCTCCCACAAATGATCGAAATTTTCAATATTTATAAATCCAATATTAGGCGAATGGAATAACCGATTTGAAGCAAGCTTTGCACAAACTGTTATCTTTACCAAATCTAGATCAAGTCCGAAGGTAGGACCCGTCTGCCCTCTCCTCTGGTACATCCTACAAAATGGGTCAATATTATATATTTGATCAACATAAAATCGTATACCTTATATAAAACGAATTATAAAACCTTTTTATATATCCGAAGACCACCTCCGCAAACCATAGGGCGAGAGTATATATCTGTCGGCAATTTTCATTTTGACCCTCGGCCAGTTTCGTCTGTCTTTCAGCAAAAACAAAAACATTAATAGTAGCGGTATATAGGACAACCGAAAAATCGCAAAGAAAGAGAGTACTTTTAAATGTCGAATATATTCGACAAAAACACTGAAAGGGTTAAGAGGATCAAAACGGAATATGAACAAATTACTAATTACTGTTAGATATATAAAAAAATCGACATTGGTTTACAATAATAAAAACATAGAAAAAAGTAGCTTGAAGCATTTCAATGCCGAAAATAAAATCGATCTTATTATTTTTTCCTCCGCCACTGTATATGTACATTGAAATACATAAATACTTCCAGTGTTCATATTAATGGAGGTTTAAACAAGATTGTGATTTTTCTAACCAAAAAGTATAATTTGTTTGTAAAGAAATTTTGTAAGGTTTTCATGCATATTTAAAACATTGTATGACCACAATAGTTAATAATATATATCAAATATAAATCAGCATTCCTCAAACATATGAAATTTATTCGTTTATGTTAATGGGCACGCAGCTAAAATATATGTTATTTTTTCGTTCTATTCAATGTAAAAAAACTCCATTCAAGAACAGAAGAATATTTAGAATATCTTTACGATTTCAATAACATTAAAAAATAAAATTTGTGAAGATATCTAAAAAATGTTCAACCAAATTGTCTGTAATTTGATATTTTGGCTTGTAATTGAGTGTCTAATCTTCCTATCAAAAATTATCAATATCGGTCCCCCGTTCTTGAACCAAATATGTTGTACATACATATATATTTTTGGCGTGGGTATATTTAAGGTCTTTGGAAATTCGTCCCGTTCGATTTTATTACAATGTATTTATATTATTCTAAAAATGTTTAAATGTCAAAGAGTTTCTCCACATTAACAACACCAGCTCCTTCTTTAAGGGAACCCCACCCATTCTCGATTTTAATTTTTCAATATTTTCAATGGGCTGGTAAATCAATACCAATGCATGTTAAGGTTTGTAACTTTACACATATATAGTTGAAGATTTAAAAGAGAAGAAAAATAATTTACAAAATTTTCTTGTTGTTGTTGTTTTTGGTGATTGAAGTAAAGTCCTTATTTTTGATGGCGGGCATGATAACTCCTCACTGCAACATCGGGATCCGAAAATTCCAACGGTGTTAGAAAGAGTACATGTCTGGCTCTCGTATGAATTAGGATTATTGACTTCGCTCTAAAATTAATAAAATCGCCGACCTTTGAAAATATATTTTTGGAAAATCGCCGATTTTTGACCAAAAACCAAGGTAAAAAATAAGGAAGATCTTAACCGATTGACTTTATCCTAGTTCATACGATACCTATACACTCACAGAGAAACGTGTAAAAATTTGGAATCGATTGGGTTATTAGTTTTTGAGTTATCGTGCCCGCCATTCCCAAAAGAGAAAAAAGCGTTTAAAGTTTGAAAAGCCCTTTAGCCGTCACTGATGCTGACACAATAATTTGGCTATATCTTCAAGAGTTCTTGAGATTTTCACTTGAAATTTTGTAGGGACATTCTTGAATTAGTGTAGATTCGAATTAAATCAAAATTAATTGACCCCGAGAATGGGGGGGGTCCCCTTAATTAAATGTCTGTATCAAGATTTATTTAATAAGGTGTAAGTGACAATCATATGGCTTTCAACTTTTTTCTTTATTGTTTGTAAAGTAAATTGTCAAAAATATTTGTCAACGTTTCATTTCGATTTAAAATGTTGTCTGTTGTTTTTTATTACTATTTTTATTAATAAAAGAGCAATAATAATGAATTTATAGGGACGGAATATTTGTTAATGCCCCAAGTGACGACAAGGAAGCGTGAGCTTAAATCAGTTCTAAATCCGGCCGCTGATTTGTTCCACTTATTTGCCGCAAGTACAACGTGGGTTCCAGATTGCAAATATACATATGTATATGTGTGTTCTTATGATCGATTTAATACCAAAAGGAGATTGTTAAAGAAAAGGAAATCAGGCCCTAAATCCCCTGTTTCCCTCAAAATCAAGGAAATGGTGTTATATAGCTTGTATTAGAATTTGTCCATTAGTTTTCAACAAACGCCTGGCTAAATACAATTTTTTTTAACAATTTAAAATGAGATTCTGTTGCGTAGCCTATTGATAGATTGCATACGGTTTGTGGTATTTATGTCCTACCATGAAGCCACTTCTTCGAAAATTATATTTTAATTTAAAAAATAAGCAAAATCCCCAAGGAACCAAGGCTTACATGTGGGACACTTTTCAATATTATTCGACCTGAAGAAATGTATAATTGTTTTTATTTACTTTTGTCAAAACCTATTTGTCAGCATGACAATTTAATTTCTATAACAACAATGTTGTTTTTGTAAAATGTTTGTTGTTGTATCTGATGCATACACCTTATTAAATACACCTTGGTCTGTATGTTTAAAAAATATATCACAATTATAGCCTAAAAGTAAAGAATAGTTTCAGTTACCTAAGTAATGTAGAAATGATTTCCATTTGCAATTAATTTACCTGGAGCGAACACAGGTAATCAACAAACACAGCAACAACGACGCCAACGATTCTAAAATTTGTATATGAAATAGATACACAACACTTCTAATATCTGGAGGGCGTCGATGACGTAATTTTATCATAAAGATTATTTTTAAATCGGCAAATGTCTAATATTTTCGAATAGTTAAATTTATTTGAATTCTTAGACCTTTTTAACTTTTTATTTTTCTTCTTCTTCTTCATTTTAGAAACCCTCGGAAATGTGATGTGCCAATCATGGCAAAAGGAATTGGATAAAAAAGCGAATTCCAAGAAAAAGCCAAGTCTCCTAAAGGCAACAGCCCGTGTTTTTGGTTGGCGTTTTGCCTTTTTGGGGTTTCTGTTATTTATTCTGGAATTGGGTTTAAGGTAAGTCGTCGAATTGGTATTTATCATTCATAACATTGTCGACTATTTCTAAAGTCGATGTCTGGCTTTTACAAAGAGAGAAAAATGTAAAATATTAAGATCCTAGCTTCTGACATTTTGACTAACAGTGCCTTGTTCTAATAAGGATCGGGTTGGAGGGAACCTTTAAATCACATCATTACAAATTTATAACTCGTGGAATTCATTTCCACGGCCCCACAAATTCCGTTACAAATGGCTTTCAAAAAGTTTGCAATTGAAAGTATCAAAATGTCATAGCCAATTACATTCCATGGTGTGGTTCAGTCGACCGATAACATCACATTCTAACATTTTTTCTTTCAAATCCGAAAATATCATTTGAATGACAATTTAACAGAATAATAGTTGTAAATTTACGCAAGTGGAATGAAAATTTTCCATATCAATAACAGTTCCACTCAGCTGTTCCAATGTTATCCAATGTGTCATTATCAATTATCGTGTATTCATTCTTTTTTGTTTTTGTTTCCTTTTTCAGAACGTCACAACCGCTATTTCTCATGGGTCTGATTGGTTACTATTCGAAGGGTGAACAAGAAATTAAAACGGCTTATCTGTATGCGGCCGGAGTAATAGCGTGCAGTGCAATAAATGTTATGTTTATGCATCCCTACATGTTGGGCACCATGCATGTGGGCATGAAGATACGTGTGGCTATGTGCAGCTTGATATATCGGAAATCGTTGCGTTTAAGTAAAACTGCGCTGGGCAGTACCACTGCTGGTCAGGTGGTCAATTTAATATCGAATGATGTTGGACGTTTGGATTTGGCAACGATTTTCATTAATTATCTGTGGGTGGGACCCATGGAGACATGTTTGATAACATATCTGATGTACAGAGAGGTAAGGAGGATCGATCGCAGCCATTAACACGTTTATTAATTTACTTATAAATGTTATCTTTCTCTCCTTTTAGATTGGCATTGCCGCTGTATTTGGTGTGGCCTTCATGTTAATGTTTATCCCCCTGCAGGGCTGGTTGGGTAAAAAAACATCTGTACTGCGTTTGCGTACCGCCTTGCGCACCGATGAACGTGTACGCATGATGAATGAAATCATTTCTGGTATACAGGTTATTAAAATGTATGCCTGGGAGTATCCCTTTGGCAAGATCGTGGCCTATGCCCGCAAAAAGGAAATCAATAGTATACGTCACTCCTCGTATATACGCGGTATCCTATTGTCGTTCATTATGTTCCTAACTCGTGTGTCGATTTTCCTCAGTTTGGTGGGCTATGTTCTGTTGAGTAATTTCCTAACACCGGAACAGGCCTTTGTGATAACAGCCTATTATAATATTTTAAGGACAACCATGACAGTATTCTTTCCTCAGGGTAAATATGCAAATTTTCGCGGTTGACTTTGTAACGTTAATTAAATTTTCGATTTGTTATTGTCAGGTATTTCCATGATGGCTGAAACCTTGGTCTCCATTAAACGTATACAAAACTTTATGCTATATGAAGAAACTCAGGTTGTGGACAAATCTGCCGATTACATAAATTACGATGGCAGTAATCAATCGACTGTGGTCAAGGATGATGATAAAATCATGGAAGAAGAAGATGCCGAGAAACAGCCGTTGGTCTCAAATGGTCATGCCACACTATCCGAGGCTGGTATTATAATTAGTAATCTTAAGGCGAAATGGGATCCAGCTGTAACGGAGTTAACTTTGGATGATGTCAATTTGCGTGTACAACCAGGAACTTTGGTAGCCATTATTGGTCCGGTTGGTTCGGGGAAATCAAGGTAAAAAATAGAAATACTTTAGGGTCGCTGCAAACGGAGGAAAATTAGTTTAGTTTTTTTCACACGCAAATATGAGCCAAGATCTCAAAGATGATCTTCGAACAGTAGTCATCTGCTTTCCTCAGTAGCTCTTCTTTATTCAAAATTTATTCATTTCATATATCTTTTTTAGTCAATTCAAATGTTGTATTGTTACACTTCGTCCAAGTTCAGGATATTCTTATATTTAATAACTGACCCTCTTATTTTTAAATAAATTATTTTCGACACACTTTCAGAGAGGTGGTTTGTACATCTCGATTAATCTCGATAATGACTACTCTCAACTTCTCACCCGGGATTGTGCTGAGATAACTTTTACCATCAGTAATGCATTCCCAATTGTTTGTTGGTCCAATATTTTCGGCATATTTTTAATAGTTCTTATCATTATCAAACCCGCCTATCGTGAGTTACAATTTTCTCCAAAACGACCTTTTCCAAAATATTGTTTTAGAAAAACGAGGAGACCAACGAGTATTCATATGGGGAGTCAAAGGATCATCTAATACCAAATGCTACTCTTACAAAAGTCACAAGGTATACTTGTAAGCGGCAAATTCATTGATGACCATGCTCCCTGTCTGCAGTATCTACAGCCTCCTCTATTGTACTTCTTAACTTCAAATATTCAGCACGTGTGTCGATTTCCATATTTAGAAATAAATGGCTTAGTTTCCATCTTTGTGGAGTATACATGGGTTCCTTCAATTTGAATATAATTCCAGGATCTAATTCCACAAATATTTAGAATAAATAACCTATTTCTTTCCCCCCTCTTCCAACAGTTTAATACAAAGTATTTTGGGTGAACTAAAACCAGAATCGGGAACAATTAAAGTGAACGGTACTTTCTCATATGCCTCTCAAGAACCATGGTTATTCACAGGGACAGTACGACAAAATATACTCTTCGGACAACCTATGGATAGACGACGATATCATGCTGTGGTTAAAAAATGTGCCTTGGAAAGAGATTTTGAATTGCTGCCCTATGGCGATAAAACCATTGTGGGTGAACGTGGTGCCTCCTTGTCTGGTGGACAAAAGGCTCGTATCAGTTTGGCCAGAGCTGTATATCGTCGAACATCAATTTACCTTCTAGATGATCCTCTGAGTGCTGTCGATACCCATGTGGGACGTCATTTATTCGATCAATGTATGCGTGGTTTGTTGCGCGACAATATCGTTGTCCTGGTCACCCATCAATTGCAATTTCTACAATCGGCTGATCAAATTGTTATCATGGACAAGGGACGTGTTTGTGCCGTCGGTTCATATGAGTCATTACGTGAAAGTGGTCATGATTTTGCTCAAATGTTAGCAGATCCAGAGAATGATGATTCAATGGAGGCTACAAAATCACGACCCAGATCAGGAAGTCGCTTGATTGATCGCCAAAATAGTGTGGCATCAATTAATTCGGTGGCCGATTCAACGCTGGACGATACACCCACCCAAGTTCAGGAAACTCAAGAAGAAGGCAAAATTGGCTTGGATCTCTATAAGAAATATTTCAAGGCTGGTGGAGGTTTCTTCATGTTTTTCGTTATGTTGGTGTTTTGTGTAATGTCTCAGGGATTGGCTTCGTGTGGTGATTATTTCTTGTCATATTGGTGAGTTGAAATATATAACCACCCTCAAATATTTCTCTATAAAATAATAATTCCAACCTTATTTTCAGGGTCAACAAAAAAGGTTCCATTGAGGCCAAACGTGTGGAATATGTTACAGCTGCCGCCCTTAATGACAGCCTACATGGAACAACTACAACCACCATGGATCCATTAACATGGTCATCATCGCATCAAACCGAAACAAGTCTTTCTAAATGGTTATCCCAATATGGTGTACATGTGGATCCGGAAATGCTCGACATCTATATTTTCACCATTATAACTGTGGCCACAATTGTAATAACTGTTACCCGCAGTTTCTTGTTCTTCAATGTGGCCATGAGGGCATCACAGAACTTACACAATTCCATGTTCCGTGGTATAACACGCGCCTCCATGTACTTCTTCAATACAAATCCCTCCGGTCGTATACTTAATCGTTTCTCCAAGGACATGGGTCAAATCGATGAAATTCTACCATCTGTCATGATTGATGTGATACAAATTTTCCTTTCACTATTTGGCATTGTTGCTGTTTTGTCTGTGGTAAATCCCTTGTACCTGTTGCCCACATTCATTTTGGCCATAATCTTTTATAATCTCAGGACATTCTATTTGAAGACGTCGCGTAATGTTAAACGTTTGGAGGCTATAAGTAAGTGGATGATTGTATATTGAAGCCTTTCTTTTATTAATAAAAAATGTTGTTTTATTCTAGCACGTTCTCCCATCTATTCCCATTTGGGAGCTTCGCTGACTGGTCTCTCAACAATACGCGCCTTTGGTGCCCAAGGTGTTTTAATCAAAGAATTCGATAACTACCAGGATCTTCATAGCTCGGCATTTTTCCTCTTCATCAGTACATCGCGTGCCTTTGGCTATTGGCTGGATTGCTTCTGTGTCATCTTTATTGCCATTATCACCTTGAGTTTCTTTGTATTTGCCCCCGAAAATGGTGGAGATGTTGGCTTAGCCATTACCCAAGCAATGGGTATGACCGGTATGGTACAATGGGGCATGCGGCAATCGGCAGAATTAGAAAATACCATGACGGCGGTAGAACGTGTAGTCGAATATGATGATATTGATCCGGAGGGTGAATTAGAATCGACCGAGGATAAGAAACCACCTCAAACATGGCCCGAAGAAGGCAAAATTGAATTTGATGAACTGAGTTTGCGTTACAATCCAGATCCCAAATCGGAATATGTCTTGAAGTCATTGAATATTGTTATTAAAGCAAGGGAAAAGGTTGGCATCGTTGGACGTACTGGGGCTGGTAAATCCTCATTGATCAATGCTTTGTTCCGCTTGTCCTATACCGATGGTTCCATTGTCATTGATTCACGTGATACCAAATCAATGGGTTTACATGATTTACGTAGTAAAATATCAATTATACCTCAGGAACCTGTGCTATTCTCTGGAACAATGCGTTACAATTTAGATCCATTTGATGAATATTCCGATGCTAAGCTATGGGAAGCTTTGGAGGAGGTATGTTCTCTTAAATTACAAGGTTAGCAAATTAACTCAATTATTCTTTTTTTCTCTCTAGGTCCAACTTAAAGACGTGGTTTCCGAATTGCCAAACGGGTTGCAAACTAAAATCTCAGAAGGTGGTTCCAATTTCAGTGTTGGCCAACGTCAATTGGTCTGTTTGGCTCGGGCTATTTTACGCGAAAATCGTATTTTAGTTATGGACGAAGCCACTGCCAATGTTGATCCGCAGACAGATGCATTGATCCAAACAACTATTCGCCACAAATTTAAATATTGTACCGTCCTAACGATAGCACATCGTTTACATACAGTCATGGATTCGGATAAAGTGCTGGTAATGGATGCCGGTCAGGTGGTCGAATTCGGTTCACCCTATGAACTGCTGACGGAAAGTGATAAGAATGTATTCCAGGGCATGGTAAAACAAACAGGAAAATCAACATATGAGAATTTATTGAAAGTAGCACAAAAGGTAATTTGATAAAATTTGCAAAAGAGGACCGTAATTTCAGCATCATTTGGGCTTAATGAATAATTGTTCATTATCGCTTAGATATCGCGATACTGTTAACTTTCTTCGAACTTTTTATTTTTTCTTGGTCTTCAAACTTTTTTATTTAAAATTAAATGTCTCCTTTTTTTCTAGGCCCATGAGGACACCTTAAAACAAAAAATGGATTAGAAGGATACCGGGAATTTTTGTCTATACATAACTATAAAATAACAACAAGAACGACAAAATTACTTCTTGCCATTACTTAAATCATGCCAATTTTTTCTTGAAAAGACTAAGTTTAAGTACAGACAGGCCTTGTTCTTCGAAAAACGTGAAATGTAATTATAATAACTCTGAGCTGTTTAATTTTAAGTAAAACAATAGTAAAAAAAATGTAACTTTATACGTATGTTTGTATGTTCAGATTAGGTTTTTTATATTTACATATTAATATTATAGTCAAAAGCGAGAATATGTTTTGTAAAATTTATGTTTCCTTTGTAAATGTGTACAAACCAAAAATGAAGAAAGAAAATAACACAAAACAATGGATGTGTTAATATTAAACAAAGAAACCACTACTACTACTACTAAGGCATTCATTATATAATAATGTTTTTTAATTCACAAATTTTAGTTAACAAAAATAAGAATAAGCAAAACAAATGTTAATTTAAGTTACCTTCCATCTCTATACTAAACTTAAAAAAAAAAACAACAACAACAAAAACTAATAATTAAATTAATAACCATCCATATACAAGAAGAAAATCTTAAAAATATATACATGCAATGTGCCTTTAGATATTTATATATAACTCTATATAGGGTATTTTATGTTTATAAAATGCAAAGCAAGAAAAAATACTATAAATGTACAATGTGAAACCAAAAAGCATAAGAGTAAGAGAAAAGAAACGAGAGAATATATAGAGTATAATGTTAAAGGGAGAAACACACTAAAAAAAGAACAAATTTAAATAAAAACGTCCAAAAATCTTATTTATTAAAAAGAAATCCTCATGTTTTGAAATATTTATATCGATGAAAGATTTACACTTAAAACGGAATATTTAAGTGGTGCGTCGATAAGAAGCTAAATTTGATATAGTTAAATTGGATAATGAAAAACAATATTTGACACAAACCTATTACCTATTTTATTAGTACTAAACATCTTTTTTCCTGACTAAGGACGAGTGCGGTGGATACTGATGAAGTAACTAAAAGAGAAGGGTTTGCCCTCTTGGTTAGGGATAAGCTTCCCCCAAAAAGTGGATAATGCTTATAAATATGGCTCAAACTTTTTATATTCCTTAAATAGATATTTACAAAAGTACAGTGTGGTACTTTTGGATCCACTAAAAATAACTACAATTACAGGAAATTATGAATAATCCATAGTTAAATTTTCTATTTCTAAAAAACTTGTTGTTTACTTATGCTATAGAACAGAAACATGACTTACGTAGCAAAATTTCTATTATACCTCAGGAACCTATTCTCACAATGCGTTATAATTAAGATACATTTGATGAATATTCCGATGCTAAGCTATGGGAGCATCGGAGGAAGTATGTTATCTTAATTTACAACATTTACATTTAATTTTTTTCTCTCGTCAAACGGGTTGCAAACTAAAATCTCAGAAGGTGGTTCCAATTTCATAACATTTAATATCATTTGACTTTCCGATAGTCATAATAAATCGGTATTGTCAGATCAAACAAAAAAATGGATCAATAGGCTTTCTTTCGTTGGATACGACACCAAGGTCCCAAAATGAGTTCTATAGTCGGTTGGGTGGGAGGCAAATATATCTACTAAAACATTTCCACGACAGTCTAAGATTCCATTGTATTTTTAGTAGGGCTGCTACAAAAAATTTTCAAGGAAAAAACATTAACATACAACACAATCGGCAAATCCTATCAAATTCGTAATACTTTTTGAGCAAATTTCATAATAAAAGAATATTCGTTTTGTTCAAAACATATCACAAATTTAATTCTTCTTACGAGAGGATCACTCCATCGATGACAGAGCAGAAGAAGATCACGAGAGGGTTTGCCTCTCTTCAAAGAAAACACTCTCAGAAATAATGCCGTTTAATCAGCGATTTTTCTGTTCTTAAGAACATAACAATTTTTTTTGTGATCTTCTTCTGCTCTGTCATCGATGGAGTGATCCAATTTGACTCATAAAAGAAAATTGAAGTTTTTGCAAAGAAAGCAGTTCCAAATCAATTTAAATAAAATATTTTATATCAAAAATATTTAAGATTTTTATATATACGGCTTTGTTCTGGACACCAATTCCCCGTGAATTTGTTCGCTCTTCCCCTTAAAGTTATTCTGAACTGAATCAAGTTCGAAAGAGAAAAAAAGCAAATATGAAATAAAAATCGTTTTAATTTCATAATAATTAGCTGACCAAAAAAGCCCAACAAACAACATACAAATTTAATAAAGAAAAACATTGGTCAACAACAGAAATAGAAAAAAATCCCCTTTGGGAAACAATTAGTTATTCTGGATCAACCACCATTTCCTAAAATTCGAATCCGCATCGCGCATTTTTGGCTTCTCCTTATAGGAGGTGATGCAAATGTGGTATACCCATTTGTTTTTAGATTGCCAAATTTTTTATTTTTTATCCGATTAAATTGAAATTTTACATTTAACATGCTACATGTGTTGTCTTTCGATGTATCAATTTGAAAATAATATTATTCTAACAATTTAAGAGATATTTGATAAAATATTGGAAATTCCATAAATAGTGATTTTAAAAAGTGTAGGTAATGTGGTATACCACATGATGTTATTGTGGTATAGTATAATTTTCACTTCCAATTGATATCTTATATAATTTATTGTTTTTAATGAAATGCGAATTAACTCGAGATTTATGTCTGTAAAGATTTTTAACGGATACATTGAGTGGAACTTTAATTTTTATTATATAATAATGTATACACATGGCAATATTTAATTTTTGTATGGAGAAGTTGGTTTTCATCCTTGTGATACATGGTAGACTCTCGTAGTGTACAAATGTTTGAAATAGTAATGGGATTTTGTTCATATTACCTGCACTTGTGTTTACTGAAGAAATATCTAATTTTTTCCTAAATTGGTAAATATGTGGTGCAATCGCGCATATTATTTGATTTTTAGTACTTACTAATTATTTTAATGCTTTAATAATAAAGATTAAAATACATCTGTAAAACAAAAAAAATATTTTTAAACTTCAACCGAAAAAAGTCAATTTCATGAAAAATTTAATTTTTGCTACTGATTCTCAGCCTGAGTTAAATTAAACAGCTCATTGATATCTTATTTATTTATTTTTTTTTTTTGAGAACAGCAAACTATAGAACATGTTTCAATTATACTAAAATTTTCAGTTTACAAAAAAAGTGACTATACCACATAACCAACATATACCACATTTGCATCACCTCCTCTATTCATTCAGAATAAGGCGGGAATGTGAAAGCCAAAAAAATATCACATGCGAGATGTCTCCCTAGCGAATATCCAGAATAAGGCAGATAACTTATTACTTTAAAAAATGGTGATGGGTCAAATTGGTTCAGTTCATAAATCTAGTGTTAACAATGCGTGAGAATTGTGGTGTAAAAGCCAGAATTTGTTCTTTCAAATACTCATGTGTATTTACCTGATATCCCATAGTGTATATATATTTGATCAAAATTAAAGTCTATGTCGATTTAGCCATGTCCGTCTGTTGAAATAGATAAAATTCACAATATTTAAGATAAAACATAGAATTTTGGCACATACATTGCAATGTTAGAAGTTTGGTGCTACTCCTAGGAAATTAGGCATTGAAAATGGGATTTATTGATCTTCGTTTGGTATATTAAAATATGTTTTTCAACCGATACTGCTGTTACTTGCTTTCTTGGATTCTATTGGGTAGCAAATCTTCGTGTCAAAAATATAAATATGCCTCCCAAATGGCTGTGATTATATATATGGCATGCTCATTGGGTAGAAAATCTCCCTAGCCAGAAAAAAATTGGCCTATGTTTATTCGGTACTTTTGGTCGCTTATAAACGATATCGAATGGGCCTTACTTGGAGTTTTTAAAAATTTTTTAATATTATATTGGAATATCCAATTTCTTTGGTTTTTTATTTTCGTTTATTATTTATTGCAATTTCGATTCAATACAACCAAAATTAAATTAATGAAGACAATGTAACATTTAAATCTTGAATTTATAACGTTCTTTCGTTCTCATATTTCCTTTTCTCTTTACTTCTCCAAACAAACAAAATAAAGCGGCAATACTGGTTGGCATTCACTGAACATACCCCATCTGAGAGTTAGTGGTTTTTGTTTTGATTCCCCCCATTTTACATACACTAGCTGTAGCAGTCGCTGCAGCAGCAGCAGCTCTACTGGCGCACCAACACATACGCACACACACTCGCACTTATCGCACAACAGTCGTCGTCGTCAGTACACAGACACAACAGACAATTTTTCCGTTTTTTATTTCGAGCACCTGAAAAAATCCTAGTTTGCACCGTTTATTACTTAAAAAATTCAAAAAATCTAACAAAAATCGGACATACGATTGGTCCTTTGCAATAGTGAATTGAAATTTCATTTAAAACTCGAATCACAACAAAGTTTTTTTGTGTCAAACCAAGAAACCCAAAACCAGCAGCAATGACAAAATAATATCAACATAACATCGAAAATCCAAAAAGGTATCTTTTGGAGCTCCCAGACGTGGAAGCAGCAGACGAAGAGGAAAACGAAAAGGGGATTTACAGCAGTGCAATGTGAAAAATCAAAAGAAGAAAAAAACATTAATTCTAATTGTGCGAACGTGTGTGTGTGTGGTGCTGTGCGTATTGAAATTCATTGTTGTGGGCCACCAGTGTGTGTTGTTGTTGCTGCTGCTGTTGTTGTTTATGGCCTCAATTGTTAAGTGAAGAATAATGAAATAAAGGTAAATTTTCGAAAACTAAATCCCAGTGAATAATTTGTTGCAAAACAAAACGAAAAAAACAAGCAGTAATTCTGTGTATATGTGTGTGTTAACCAATATTGTCCAATAGGAAGAGCCAACTGATGGCTGATGGTAGTAGCCATCGAATAAAGTGCATTTTCGATTTTTTCCAATTGGAGCATGATGATGACGGCTTAGTGGAATTCCCATCA